CACTATAAAATACACTGTACTGTTAGAAAAGTAAGTTTATTTAGTAGGTTTATTTAGTTTTAGTAGATTCATTTACTTTCAGTAGATTTATTATATTTGAGTAGATGTTTTCAATGAGCAGCAGTAGATTATATGCGAGTTACAGGATTTAAAGTGTACCAGGGTCCACATGAAAAAGCTATAAAATAAGAGTGCTGCTTGTTGTTTGTTCTGTTTCAATCAGGACGTCAATCCTCTGATCCTGATCAACATAAAGCTCTCACACACAGATTTAACTCCCCCGAGCCCCCCACCGGTGCTGCAGCATCTTCACCTGGAACAGCTGTTCACCTCCCCAGTCTCCCCACCTCCCCCAGCAGCAGCAGCAATAAGACGGAGCTGTAATCTGATGAGATCGGGGCCACACACAGATTAAAACAAACAGACGAGAAGCTTCAATCAGAGATTAACAGAAATCCTCATTTGGTCGCAGCTGTAATCCATCTGTGTTTTTGCTCAGTTCAGAGCAGATTACACGCCGGCGGCTGTTGTTACTGATACAAGAGAAGGTGAAAAACACATCGACAGGACGGTGGCCTGGAGGCCCAATAATCTCCATGAATCTGAAGCATCTAATATCACATCTGACATGAGATTTATCAAACTGCTCAGTGACAGGAAGTGACAGCATTTAAAACACTTTAAAACACCTAATTAGATATATTAGAACATTTTTGTGACAAATTCTTTCTTAATGAATTACTAATTAATTTCATACAATGAGGTAATTAAATGTAACTCACCACCTGTGAGGCCAGACGATGTGTAGAGGTTTAACCTGGCCCTCCTCACTAACTGGTCTCTGGTCTGTTTTGGGTTCAGAAGTGGACTGATGTGGATCCTGCTGCTCGGACCTGACAGTGTCATTAAAATAAAATATGTATTATTTATTATTAAACACACTTAACTTTACTGTTATGGACGCATTAGTCGGATCTAATTCAGTCTTTTATTCTTGTTGAATTTGTTACCGTGGAGACTGCTGCTTGTCCTGCGGTGTGATGATGTCATCAACGTGAGATGCCTCTGCAGGCCTGCGGAGGAGTTTGTGTTTGGGCAGCAGCCTGAAAAACAACCCGCAGAATAATCAGTTGGAAAAATATGAAAACAAACACTGAAGTTTCCAACGCTCCTGAACGCCTCATCACCACGACAACGAGCAGCAACTGATGGAGGAATAAATCCAACATCATTCAATTTTAATTTGTATAGCGCCATGTATCAGTCCCTGATGTCCAACACACACCAGACTCCAGTTTGAGGGTTTTTATCAGCTCATCAACACAGAATAGAAACAAGACTGTTGTGAAAATGAGGTCAAAAATCAACTTTATCACCAAGTCCCCAAATCAAGTCAAAAGTTACCTCCAACAAGTCCCAAATTAAGTCCAGAGTTAACAACAACAAATCCCAAATCAAGTCCAGAGTCAACACCAAGTCCCAAATCAAGTCCAAAGTCAACACAGAGTCCCAAATTAAGTCCAAAGTCAACACCAACAAGTCCCAAATCAAGTCCAGAGTCACCACGAGTCCCAAATTAAGTCCAAAGTCAACACCAATGAGTCCCAAATCAAGTCCAAAGTCACCTCCAACAAGTCCCAAATCAAGTCCCAAATCAACACTAACAAGTCCCAAATCAAGTCCAGAGTCAACACCAACAAGTCCCAAATTATGTCCAAAGTTAACACCAACAAGTCCCAAATCAAGTCCAAAGTCAACACCAACAGGTCGAAAAATCAAGTCCAGAGTCAACACCAATAAGTCCCAAATCAAATCTAAAGCCAACACCAATAAGTCCCAAATCAAGTCCAGAGTCAACACAGAGTCCCAAATCAAGTCCAAAGTCAACACCAACAAGTCCCTAATCAAGTCCACAGTAACAGAAGGTTTTGGAGAATTTAGAGAAAAGATTTATTAAGATTTATTAGAAATATCTCAATCCGACTCAAACTTGAATGTGCTCATTATGTTAATGTCCACTTGAGGCAGGAGGCCATTACATCTGCTGTTATCAAATCAAAGAGACGCTGCAGGTTGTGAATCAGGAATCAGATTTAATGGAGACGGCAGGCTGAGCTCCAGGAAAATACCATATCAATATCATAACCCTATCAATCACTACAATCGGTACACCAACACATTCATGAAACATCTCAAACAAAAAGACATAAAGGCTGACCCTCTGACTGAGGTTAAGACTTAAACACATAGGGGTGGGGGTGGGGGGGTGATGTTGAAGAAGTCTAATGGGAGCTAATATCTCCTCATCGTCTGCTATCTTCTCGCTCTGTGTCTGCACTCCAGCCTGGCTTCTTATTCCAGTCAGTCTGTTGTCCACATTCAGCTACAGCAGCAGGAAGGTTGTGAGTGAATGTTAGCTGCAGCTAAAGTTAGCAACCAGACGGCTCAATCTAATGCTGTCGCACTGTACATATTATATCATATTACAGACAGACAGTTGGACAGAAAGACAGCTGGACAGACAGACAGTTGGACATTGGGTCCTCCAGCTGAGATTCAGTCTGATGTCTCTGAGGGAAACAACCTGACTCAATAATCCATTTCAGAAATTAATGTTTGACTGCAGGCAATAAAAACCCAGAGGGGGGGCTGAGGGGGGTCAATTATGTTATTGATAAATCAACAGTAATCTGTGTGATGACCTCACCTCTGTGAGGCTGATTAAAGATGAAAAGATGAAGGTCAAAAATCATTCAGCTCATTTACTTTATTGGCAATAATCACAAGAGTCTGAGAGTGTGGACCTGGTCTGGACGTGGACCCTGCAGACCCACACAGACCCTCAGGTTTAATATAGAATATGTAACTATGTTTAATTATTTCTATAAACAACGTTCACTCAAAGACTGTCAGACACTTAATGAGTCCACCAGAAACACTTCACTGTTTTGTATTAGACTGAACATTCAGTTAAAGCTTCATAAATCACATTATTATCATTATATGTCTCTATAATAATCTGATTATTGATCAGCAGAGAGCGACTTCCTCTGCTGCCTGTGGACTGATTTCTATGTGTTTCTATGTAGGGATGAGGGTC